TCCACGGTAGTCCTTAAAGGTGCAATAGGTGATTGTCTTCAGAAACATTTTTTGTTATGCTGGTTGAAAGTCTGGATAGCAAGCATTAAGTTAAGTGGTCTAAATGTATTTGTCTGTATTTATCTGTATTTATCTGTATATATATCTATATATTGTGGAAGGCGTAGGATCAAGAAATGTTCGTCCAATCAAAACGCTCGGTCCGAGCGTTTTAATTGGTTTTCCTACCTGCCTGTAAACGTATGTATTAGCATACCTCTGCGCACCCTGTTCGCACAGACAGGATACGTCATCAGCGCATTCACGTACGCTGTGCAGACAGAGCGAGAATGGCAGGCAAACATCAACAACCCGATCTTCATTCCTGGTATTGTAGTACTTTTAAAGTTTTCTCACCGGAGCGGTTCCCAATTCCTGTCCTCGCGCATGGGAAGCAGGGGAAATCCGTTGAAGTTTACTAAACCGACCCGGACGATTTGGTCAGTCGCACTTTTAAACACATTTTAGTTTTGCTGTAGAAAATCTACAAATCCACACTCTGCTTACATACAACAGCAGCAGCAGGAAGCGCGTGAGGTTGTCATGGCAACCAGATACACTGCACGCGAATTACGGCTGCGCTTCTATTCTGCCGCACTAAACTTCTCAATAAACACATTGAAAATAATACACAATAAACATGTCTGTCAAAACGATCTTAAAGGAGGCTTTTATTAAGCAAATCAAGGAGTGAATTACTCATCCACTGTTTAAAAAAAAATACTTTAGCTGGGTTTCCACAGGCAGGGTCACAATTATCTACAGTGTATGAAGCTAAAGGTTTTTGGGTTAAGGTTCATAATGTAGAACATTTTTAACATTGTATGCTGTATGTGCAGGTAGCTAGCAAACAAGGAATACAGCTGTTAAGCTAACAGTCACATTTAGCTGAGTAAGATCATGATTGAGAGATGTTGGATACTGCTGGAAATGCTGCTATGGGTTCTCCTATTTATTATTTTAGGATTTTTTTTTTTTGCCCCAGTGAAGCATCTCTATTAATATAACTGATTAAGTTGTCAAACTCATTCCATATCAGCAGAATAGTGTGGTACAGAAAGTCTATGTCCATAAAACAGGTTCTGAATGAATTATGTAACTGATACCTAATGCTCAAAAGCAATAGCAGAAGTAATAGGTCAATATTATTAAATTGCAGACAAAGATTTTGAATAGCTATTAGGGATGTGCCGATATGAGTATCAGTACCGAAAGGTTCACGGGGTAAATTCCCAATGGAAGTGATCGTTTCCTATCCCTTGGAGTGAGCAGGGCACGTGCGTGCTATTATGAAGTCGTCTGGAATGCACTCATGTAATTGAGTAATGAGGAATGTAATTTCCTCATTATCTTCAGCTGGCATGTTCCCGTGACAGCGCAGTCAGCAGATTCGCTGATGGACACCGGCATAAAAAAAAATTTACATTTTATATTTTTTTAAGTTTTATATATATTAGTTTTTATATATTATATAGCAAACTTTTTAAAATATAAAATGTATGTTTATTTGCAACATTTATGCTAACAACAATAAAAAGACATTTATGACAGTAAAACAGCGAATTTGCCCGTGAAACGTTCGGTACCGGTACTCGTATCGGCACATCCCTAATAGCTAGGCTGGCTTGCACACTATATTGCCAAAAGTATTGGGACACCCCCTTCTAATGAACAGGTTTGTCTACTTTAGTAATTTCTGTCACATAAAAAATGAATAAATCAAAGATCACGAGATATTAAAGCTGTAATATTTTGAGAATAAAGTTGTGGTAATTCCGCGATTAAAGTATATTTTGTGTACAGGTGACAGCGGGAGAAATCCTGCGACTGATTTGAACATATCTGCGGGTTTATTAGCAGAAACCGTACCACGTGTCGTGTTACTCAAGTGACAGTATGCTTGGAAATAATATTTCACGTCTTCAGTCTCTTCATCTAGTGTAGTGCGCCAGCCACCCAATGACTGCAGTAAGCTTTGTGTTTTGTTACTTTTAGTATAAAACAGTCAGCTTTTAAATTCTGTAACATGAATCAGTCGAAGGACGTCAATAAAACAGCTCAAGAAGTCACGCTGAGTTACATTTACCTCCGAAAAAACAGCAATATTTAACATTATATAACAAAAACTTTGCCAACATTTCTTTTATTTCTCATAAATCAGTCAGTTAACCGAGTTGGAGCTGCTTCAAACTTTAAAACGATTTTATTAATGAAGAATGAAAGATTAACTTAATATAGCCTGTGCAATATAGCCATTGACTTTATTCTCAAAATATTACAACGATTAATCTCGTATTGCTACGACTTCATTCTCAAAATGTTGCGACTTTAATCTCATAATCCTAGATTTTTATTTTTTTTACGTAGCACTGAAAACGTCGTCGTAGAACCCTGTTTCCACCACTTAATAAAACATTTTAAAAAGGTAACTGCAACTTCATATCTCACAATTCTGCGAAGAGAAGTCAGAACTGTGAGATGTAAACTTGCACTTGTGAGGAAAAAAGTCAAAATTGTAAGATTAAAAAGTTGCAATGACCTTTTCTATTTTTTATTCAGTGGTGGAAATAGCTCTTTCCTGAGCCGAAGATTTATTTTCTCTCTTCAGAAACCATCCTCGGCCACAGAAAATATCATTAACCTAATATAAAAACAGCTCTGAATGTGTGGTGTACTCTGCATTTGTACTTGGATTATACGAGGTATCCATGTTCCTATAAAACGGAGAAACACACTTGCCTCTTTGACGAAAGGAAACATGTGCATAGCTCTTTCACAAGAGACGAGGCATGTAGAACATCTTCAGTTACAGCAAGGTGTTTTGGGCAGGTGTACTCTTCTTCATTACATCGAGAAGGAGAGCTGTTTTTACAGGCACTTTCTCAACCCCTTCTCTATCATCTCTGTTTAAAATGTGAAAGTGAAATAGGCACCTGGTCCTGTAATAGACTGCAGAGGTGAAGTGGAACAGGTCTTTAATATTCAGTGGGGTCGTTGGGTTTACCTAATAGAAACATTGCCACATCTTCTTTAGGAAATTGTGTAATATCCTATTCTTTTGCAGCCAGGAAACATGTTTGATTGAACTGGATCAGTGACAAATCTCCCTCACTTAAAGCTTGGCATAAAATTATTTATTTACTTATATTTACATCAGAAAATAGGACTGTTTTATGAGGTTTGGACACGATATCTGGTCTGTTTGGAACCTCATCTTCGTTCTGTTATATTAAAAGGAATATTGGTATTGTAATGTAATTCTCTGGACATTGAACATTCTTTTATTCTTTTTGGACCAAATAAAAATTGTATTTTTTCATTTACTTAAAGGCACAATATGTAAGATTTTTTTATTAAAATATCCAAAAACCACTAGAACAGTGTTATATATTTTGCTGACTTGTGTACTTACATTATCCCAAATGTTTCGAAGAATGTTTAAATCCAGAGAAATAAGCAATTTTAACTAGTGACACGGAGCGCGTCTATAGTGTCATTGTGTCGCATGCCAATGACGTCATAACCCTCGATTTCCGGTTTTGTTTTGTAGAAAACATGGAAACACCAAAGACGCTTTAATATGTTGTGTGTTTAATAGACCGGTGACGACCGCACAGAGTAGCATTATAACAGAACTAAATGTATCTAGTATGATAAAACAGCGCTGCTTTACCCCACATACGCACGACCGGAAGCAGCGGAAGCGGTCGACTGTGGCATAATAAAAGCTCCGTTGTCTATTTGTTTATTTTGAATACGCGCCCTCCAACGGTGTAAACTTACATATTGTGCCTTTAATACACAATTGTAATAAAGTTTTCATGTTTTGTATACAAATCTGAGCTATATTTATTGTGTGTGGGGGTGTTTTTCTTTCAAGTATAGTTCCTTTTTATGTTTGTGTTATAATTAAAATTCAATAAACATAATTATAGAAAATAAATAAATAAATATATAATATAAAAACAATGGAAGTCCTATATACTAATATAGTACACTACTAATATAGTCAAATAAAGGTGTGTGTGTGAATGCATAATCTTGTTTGTGACAATCTGTTTGTTTTCTCATAGGAAGACCAAGAGGAAATAAAGAGCAGAAAAACAACAGAATCCCGTCCATAACAGCACCTGACCTGCAGTCCGACACATAAAACA